GTTAAGTGCCTGCCTTTTAAAGGAGATAGTACCTGCATGTTGCATTCCTAAAAATAGGCCTATGCAAACTTAACCTTTCTCCCACCTTCACCACCCCCCTTCCCTAGATTTGGAAAATCAACCTCTCCTGCTTTCAATCACTCATTTAGAAAGTTGCGAAATACTTGCAAGTCATCAAAACAAGGCTTCACCTTTGGAGAAATCTGACTTCGGGGACTTGTGACAGCTGGACCCTGCTGCTGTTTTGGTCTAAGACCAGCAGAATTCGCCCATCCTGTCTACTGTGTCCCCATGGTGCTTTCTTGAGTAGGAATTTCATAGAAATACATTTTCTTCTTCTGGAGGCTCAGTTGAAGTAAGTCGTTTAAGCGGTCCTTTTCACACCTGTGAAAAACACAAAGCGGTTTTATCCACCCTCATTCTTCTTCTAGCATTCCTTCCTCCATTTGGGGGTCAGTGGTAGTTTTATTTTGCTCTCTTTGAACCATTTGACATTGAGAAATGTGGGAAGTCTAGGGCTAAGTCTAGGGCTAACGTCTGGACAGACAGGAAAAAGCAATGCAAACACACCTGACCTGTTTTCTCCCCTGAATCTCATGCCCTAAAACCAAGATCATTCCTACTTGGGACAAATGCAGAAAAGAAGCATCTGAACAGATTATTTGTGGAAACCAGTCACAGGGCATTGTCACTTTGGGGGGTTTTCTGAGACTAAAAAAGCCATTCAAGTTTCTGCTCCAGCAGGGCATCCTTCTGGTACAGCGCATTTCACTCCCCTCAGTCTGCCTGAGGGGACACACCGCCATTTTCCTTAAGGATCTGTAAAGTAAATCATCTTGGCGCCTCTTCTCGGAGCTGTTTACGTTTGGTACCACTTGAATTTGTACGCCGAATCTTCACCGAACACCCAGAAGTTCTTGGAAACTGCAGAAGACGCGTAAGGAAACCTGGTTCTCCTATAATGTTGGTCGGTTGTTGGCTGGGATTTCTTTCTTCTCATCAACATTCTAACACATCAGTGTTGAGCCAGATTATCTGGGACCAGCTGCATTACACTTGGTCCAGGGAACTGTCCACCCCACCCACTGCTCTTGCTCTTTCACAGGGACTGGTCATTGGATGTTTCTGCTTCTGGATATCTGAGGAACGTATTGCTGTGTCCTTCAGCCCTGCTAAGCCAGCAGACGCGCGGGGAAGCCTCTCGTGCTTCTCAGCAATAGATATTTTAAGGTTATCAGAAATGTGCAGGCTCTCATTTCTCAGACTTCTGATAAATTCTATCATCTAGTTATATATATGTACATATATATATATTATGATTTTGTATCTTTACTCAGTGATCACTACCTTTCGGATATGTAACATGTATGAAATTGTCTCATAATTCAGGTATCAAATAGAGTGGTGTGTAGCTCTGAAGCCCACAACTTAATATATTGTCCTACACCTAATTATATTTTAGCCTTAAGGATGGTGGTTTTTCTCCCTCCCATGTGTGAATTCTTCCTCTTACTCTTGCCAGCAGAGCTTGTTGCTATGGGTGATTTAATGACGGGTTGATGGCCCTTCGTGTTCAAAAATATTCACTGGCATTAAATCTCTGACATAGTTTTCTCTGCAGCCTTCACCATTTTGAGCACTTTTCACTCTGTTCTGGAGTGTCTGGTCTTCTGTTCAGCAACAAATTGTATGAGTACCAAGAATTTATTGGGTGGCATAGTCTTATCCTCCTTGGGAATCACAGTCCGATTTGACAGTCCTGCTTTTATGAAGTGTATGCTTGTCTATGCACATAAAGGCAATCAAGTAGATTTTAAGATGTGGTCCATTCAGGAATGATGAAAAGTTACGTTACAGACCCCCAGGCATGTCCACTTTTTGTTGCTTTTTAATTTAGCTGCTCTCAAGTTGGCAAGAGTCCTCGTCAAGCCCTGCACCCTCTGGACAGACGGCACAGGCCTCTGGGTAACACTAGCTACTAGCACCACTTCATGTACAACATCTGTGGGGTGGTTTACACCCACCCACAGGGTGTGTAGTGAGGTATATAGTGGAGGAAGGACCCCTGATGCAACAATTCTGAATTACAGAAATGACAGTTTGCTGATGACTCCCTGAAACCCCTCATAGGTCTTCTCTAGAAACTCAAACCTTACTTTTTCTATGTATTCCCAAGACCATCTGCTAGGGATGTTAAGTCAGGAACTATGCAGTTTATTTAGTTACTTAATTGTTTCAAAAAACTGGATCAAATGTTGTAAGAAAGACAGTTTTTGGAAAGTTGTCTCCTTTCTTTAAATACCTTTTCTAATTGTTGAACAGTTTCAAAGGGAAGTTAATCAATAGCCGGAGCTTCTGGCTTCTCAGTTCTTTTGATCTTTATTCCACGATGTTTTACCATTCAAGTTAAGACAGAGTAATGAACCAATGAATAAGAAGTGGGGGGCGGAGGGGGGGAAGGGAAATGAGTTGCTTGCTTCTTTGAAAATAGACTATTTAGCTTCAGTCAGTCACTTTTTTCGAAATGAAGTAGGAATCTTTGTTTTTTTCTGCTGTCACTTTCGGGGCCTACATTTTGTGTTTATTTTATTGAATAACTTAGTGACTCCCTTAATACTTAATGGGGTCATTTCTTTTGTGTATTCACTGAATTCCATTCCAGCCCAGAACTGTCTGAATCTACAGAGGGTGTTGTCATCTCCTGACCCCCCAATTCTTTGTGAAAGGCACTTGCTTCATGACAGTTGGCTGGAACCCCTCACTCCCCCAGGGAAATTTTCTTTTAAAACTTTGTGGGAATCTGGAGTCTAAAAGGTATTGATCTTGGAGACTGTTTTTTGTTGATACTCACACAATTGGAGACGACATGTGTCTTTGTAAGATGAGGCCAAGATGAAGCAAAGGTCCGTTGTTATTCTACTGACTAATTAGGTCTCCTTCACATAGCCAGCAAGTTATACAGCAATTAAAATATTTAATAACAAATTTTTCTTTTCCTTTTTTTCCCCCTTGAACATTACAGAATTCCAAGTTGTAAAATGAAGTAGCCACATCTGAAGAAGTGTTGTAAGGACGTTTTTCTCACTGACTCCTGGCTCTCCTTCCCACGCCATATGACGGGCTCTAGGTTTAGAACATTGTTTAAACTGCTCTTTCATCACCTCCAAATACCACCACCCTCTCAGCCCAAGGGGATTCATAACTTAAGTTTGGGTGTGACTGGGGTATATGAGTTGATGTTTGTTCTTTTAATTAGCAAATAATTGCCTATGAAGGCATTTTTAAAAATTGGAAACTTAGTTTTTCATTAAAGAATGCTGGAGACGTTTAGAAAAGCAGAACTATTATTAACCTTTCAAACCCAACCACTGTACATATCTGGTAGACTTACTAGTTGCTCAGTTGTACTGCTGTTTTATGTTCAGTTTCAGGTTTTTTCCAAGTTACTACATAGTTTTTAGGAACACATTTTTTTTTAAGGGCCACGTAATGTTCCACTGGGAGGCTTTCACTACAGCTTAAATATCTTCCAATCATTTTCTTCCTACATAATAAGTGATACTCTGATGAAAGTCTTTGTGCAAAAACTTCATCTTTCTAGTTCATGTAGTTCCTTAGGGTACATTAAATATATATAGCTATTATTTTTACGTCATTGTTCATTTCTGTACCTTAGGGTACATTTTAAAAAGTGACGATGCCAGAGTAAAGATCTTGGTATTTTTAAGACTTCTGGGGGTTTCTTTTTCTTTGTCGGTCAGTGTGAAATGTTTGTATTTGGAGAAGAGGGAAGGAAATCTTTGTTTGCTGACTCATGTTTTTATTTTGCACTTGAAACTGATAAGGCCACTTAGCTTTTGACATAAACTAAAGCAGGAAGTACAGAAAGCAGGAAAAAGCAGTGGTCTTGTAAGGCCATCCCAACACTGCCTCCGTGGAGTTCCTGGAGGGGTCTGTGTCCTTGTTTGAATGTCTGAAAACTGCTCAGCTCCACTAGGCAGAAATTAGTCAGCAGCCTGCATTTCGCTTCCTTTATGCACATTTACTTGCCAGTTCACCATCTTGCCAGCCAGCTGAGGAAGGCGCCCCGCCCACTGGCCCCGCAGTGTTTGGAGGCTTTGAGGATTTTGTGCCTGTAAGGAGATGTCTTCCAAAATTGAGAACGACGCACTTTAGCTGTGTTCCCAAACCATCAACCCAATCAGTTGATTTATGTTTGTCCACAAGGTAAGAGGCAGCCACAGTCACACTGCTCCTGAGCAGCTGGGGTCACCTCTGCCCACCTGGAACCTTCTCGTGTCTGCGAGAGCTAGCAGTTTGGAAAAGTGGTTTAAATTGGAGCCAGGTGACGTGGGTTCAAGCCCCGACCCTGCCACATGTAACCGTGTGTGTAACTTGGGGCCAGATGTTTCACTTTCCTGTGTTTTACTTTCTCACCTATGAAATGAAGGAAATGAGTCTTTACTCCAGGAGGTTTCTGTCTGTCTGTCTTTCTGGTCCCCAAGCGTTCTTTATGCACGTGTTAAAGAGTGTCGCGTCACCACCGCTCCTCTCCTGCAGTGTGATCACACTAAATGCCCCTTCTTGAAGCTTGGCAACGCGTCAGATGTGTGTGGGGTAACTGGTGGGAGTCAAAGACCCTTCAGAATCAGCCACAATACGATGCGCCAAAGTTTTCGGCCTTCCTTGTATTTATCATTTGGGGATTTGCAGGGCTTCTTGAATTTGTGGTCAGGCGTCTGTTGTCCATCTTGGACAGTCCCTGGCCAGTATCTGTGGCTTCCGCCTCGGTGGCTGCCTCTCTCTCCTCCATCCCCTCGAGCCGGGGTAGTGTCCAACTGCTGCTAGTCGCTTCAGAGTGAAAGCCCGTCCAGACACCTCCCCAGGCGAGGGCTCCCCAGCCCCTCCCTGCCCTCCTCCTCCTCCTTCAGCCTCTGTCTTGGCGTCCCTGCCGGCTGCTGTTCATGCACAGACATCTGCCCGCGCTTGAGAAGGAAGACGTGAGGGGCTGAGCTCCCTCCGTGCTGGGCCCTTCTCTCCACAGCTTGGCCCTGGAGCCCGGAGTCTCTGCTTGTCCCTTCACACCATACAAACCTGGTCTCCCCCACTCTGCTTTATGTGCTGGCATTTAACTGGTCTCTTGTAGTTACCTGGGATGGGGTGGGCCCAGCCCTGTGACAGCCTTTGTTACCCTCTTCGGTCTGGTCTTTCCCATCCTTTGCATTTTCAGCTGGTGAAGTAACAGAAGGGTTAAAAGGAGACAGCCTGACTCAGGAACCGGGTGCCTTGTGTGTTCCTGGGCTTCCTTCCTTTTGAGTCAGTGGAAAACAGACTTGAAAAAGTAGGAAATAAAGTTTCTACCTGCTTGCCCCATGGCATATAGGCACAAACTTCCTTAATAAGTCCCTAAAATGCCACTACGGTTCTGTCGCAGAAATGCAACTACCTGTTCTTTCAGCGGGAGCAACAGGTGAGCAGCAAACCCCAAGCAGCTGCTAAGACTGTATGTTTATTATTTCCCGTTGCTTTCAGGTTTGGTCAGTGGGGGCTTGCTTTCACATGTATTTTTAGAGCCTACCCATGGAGCTAACTAGAAAGCCTCATGGCGTCTGTTGAGAACGTGGCCCTTTCATCCCCGTCTGAATGGGGACGGGAGCCTTAGCAAGCTGAGGCTGGTGTATTCATTGCATGAGGGGCCGTGTCCCGCAATAGAAGGACTGTCTGAGTGGGCAGCGCTGTGCCCACTCGGGGGCTTAGAACAGGAGAAATGTATTCTCCACAGTTCTCTCTTCCAGATGTGCCCTGACAGCTGCCTGGCCTCCAGGTCCTCCCCTGGCCTTTCCCTGGTGTCCACACACGGGAGGTGCAAAGAAAGGGCGAGTGTGCCCGCACCCTCCCTGTTCTTAGAAGCCACCATGCCTGCCCTGCCCCGCCCCCCCTCCGGACCTCATTGAGCTGACTCACTCTTAGTCACACCAGAGGTCAGGCCTCCGGCTCGGGCTTTAGGGGCAACACTTTTTACCCGTGTCCCGCATCAAGGTCCCTGACCCGCCATCTTGCTGCAGGGGTCGTGGCTTCGCGGCGGAGCTGGCCTTGAACACTTTTCCCCTCCTCCTCCCCAGGTGCTGACTCGGGGTCCCGCTGGAAGCGCTCGGAATGCCCATTTCTGCTGCCCCGGACTTCAGACCCGAGATGCCCGGGGGCACCCTATGCCCGTGAAGTGAACGCCCCGCCGACCTCGCCCCGGCGCCGCCGCCGCCGCCGCCGCCACCGCCTCACCCTCGGGAGGGCAGGACCAGCGCGGCCACCATGAACGTGACCAGTTTATTTTCCTTCACCAGCCCGGCCGTGAAGAGACTTCTGGGGTGGAAGCAGGGCGACGAAGAGGAGAAGTGGGCGGAGAAGGCCGTGGACGCACTGGTGAAGAAGCTGAAGAAGAAGAAGGGCGCCATGGAGGAGCTGGAGAAGGCGCTGAGCTGCCCGGGGCAGCCCAGCAACTGCGTCACCATCCCGCGCTCGCTGGACGGCCGGCTGCAGGTGTCGCACCGGAAGGGGCTGCCGCACGTCATCTACTGCCGCGTGTGGCGCTGGCCTGACCTGCAGAGCCACCACGAACTGAAGCCCCTGGAGTGCTGCGAGTTCCCCTTCGGCTCCAAGCAGAAGGAGGTGTGCATCAACCCCTACCACTACAAGCGGGTGGAGAGCCCGGGTA